TAAATCAGTTCTCGGTCCACCCGGTCGGACTGTGACCAAACACGGTTTAATTTGAAAATAATGGATCTTGATTAATGTTATTTATATATCTAATTTATAACATAATCATAATATTATTTTTCCGTGCATCGCACGGGCCACGCACTAATTTATTTGGTAACTGAAAATATCATAATCTATTACTATAAAATAGAGTTAAGAAAAAATAAAGTTTTAGTAAGTTTTTTCCCTCCAAAAAATTTCGAAAAGTACCTTTTTTGGTAACTTTTTTTAAAATATTTTCATTTATCCCGCCTACACAAATAATTTAATTTTGAATGGGATTTATGGATATGCGATTGATATATTTTAGGATGAGATTTGGTTATTTTTTTGAAATCCGACTTTCACTTGTTTTTCACCTATTTTAACTCCTTTTTTTTTAGGATGAGATTTGGTAAAAAATTTTGAAATCTGATTTATAAAAATATTGGCCTGATTCATTATCTTTCTTCTCTTTCATACGTAGGTGAAAAAAACAACCTTGGGCGCAAAATTTTGAAATTAATCATGGAGAGGGTGTTTGTCTGTGGTCGGTGACGAACTCTCGGGCTTCGCTGCAGCCTGCCATCGCAAGGAAGATGACCGAACATCACGAGGGCTTTTCGGCGAGAAGCTATTGGTCACGTTGGATGCACGATGGCCGAATTTTTTTTTAGTCGTGTCTGGAACGGTCTTGGTGGTTGCGTGCGGCTGTGGAAACCTGAGTCATTTATGGCCGCGCGTGGGACGGGCTGCGGCTGTACAAGGTTGTTTGCTAATTGGGCGGAGAAAAAGATCGAGTGTGCTGGATGAGGATAGACCAGATCGACTGAGATTGTTCGACTATTGTGAAACTCGGACGATGGGTGTTGGTCGGAGATGGCAGGGTTGATGTTTCCAGTATGATGATCGGTGACGGGGCTGCTGTTCCAAGGACGGGCTGAAGGTCGACGATGGCCACAAGTCGCCAAGGCTGGTCGCACTCCTTCTCGGAGAAGGCGACTGGAGATTCTGAGCACCGGTGACATGGACGAACGACGATAAAAGATTTGTCTTGACGAGTTGAGTTTTTTCGGCCGAAATTATAGAAGTCAAGAGTTTTTCTTTTTAACGCGTTTTGTTAGAGAAATCTCGGCATTTGTGAGTCCATAACATATATGGAATTAAACAATATTGAACTGACTATTTTTTTTTTTAGTTATATTTGTTTATTTATTTTCATATTTATTGACATTATTTATTTAATATGCCTCATATTTTTTATGGTATGTTGCTTATTAATTGTGTAATCTATTACTCCCTCCATTTTAAATTGTTTGTCGTTTGAGCGTGTATTTTGTTTTACTTATTATTTGTGGTTTGAGATAACCTTGGACTTATTAGTTTGATAATTATCTTAAATCCTAAAATTTTGTAGTTAAGTTCCTGGTTGTTATATTTTTTTGAAGCCACGTACGTATCTTTATCAATAAACTCTCCTACTTCAATTATTAAAAAAGTATTTAAATAAGATTAGGAGATTTAGAAAAATCTAATGATAAGGATAAAATAACACATTCCTTCAAAATCGTAATTTTTTTTTTCTTTTGTGCTAAAACGACCTAGACGACTACATGAGGGTCAACTTCAACGAGTTCCGACAGATGATGAAGTACGGGTTCGCACCGCTGGGATGACTTGGGTGCGTCAATTCATCTTCTTTTTCTTCTTTCTATATTATTATTATTATTTAAAAATTATGTTTTGATGTGGAAATTACAATTGCTATAATGAATCGATTTTGATTCTTGCCTCATATGTAAAGGAAACAATCACACACAAAAGTGAGGTGCTGTGACAAGCAGGGTGCCGATCTAGCGGATCAGAGGATTGATAAGGTGTTCATGGTGATGTAAATTTGGGGGTTAAGATTTTTTACGTGCGCACAAAAAAAAAAGTGCTTAGAAGTTTTGTGCGTTTGATGTATGCATATGATTGTCTGAATATAGAGAAGGGTTTAAAGATGCTCAAATAAGCGACTAATTTGAATTTCTTTTTAATGAAAAGTAAACATTTTTTTTAGCTATGAATATGCAAATATTTGGATTTTAGTGGGATGTTTTGCAATCATTAATGGTTAGTTTGATTCAGAAGTATGAAGTATGTATGTTTAGATTTGGTTTGGATTAATTGATATGTTCTTCACTGGTATGATTTTATATTTTGTATTTTTCTTTCAATAATGAGATGTTAAATATAAATAATTACAGTTAAAAAAAAGGTTAAAAAAAAATAAGTAACATACCCGTCCGTGCATTGTACGGGATGCACACTAGTATAGTGAATCTTCACAATTAATTGTTATGGAATTTGTAAAGATGCAAATAAGATTTGTCACATCGTAAAATTCTAGTTTTCATAATTTTCCCAAAAAAATTCATCTAAACCTTAAACATAAGAAATAAAGGCCCAATCCGATGACGTGTATGGCTGCCGGCCCACATCGCGTGACCCACGGCCCAAAACCCGCTACACGTGGCCTGGGCCACCTCAAACCTACCCCTGCCACGAGCTCGGCGTTTTGACTCAGCCACGTTATTCTAAAAGCTAATCTTGTTCCAGAGATTATTCATTTGAGCTGTGGCCTGAAGCAGTTGCACACAGGGCCACGTTAGGGACGAGAGAGAGAGAGATAAGAGAGAGAAACGCGGCGGTGACTGGTTGTCGATGGCAACCTTCGCCTCTTTTCTCTCTCCTCCTCCGCCGCCTCCACCGTCGTTTATTTCCTCCCGCCGCTTTTTCCGGCCGTCGTGTTTATCCGCTTTCAATCCTGCTAGGAATTTGGGGAATTTGGGTAAATTGCTGCGTATCGAAACCCGGGTTCTCGCTTCCTCCGGTTCCTCTTTCTCTGCTTCAGAGTTCAGCTCGGGAGATGAATATTCGCCATCGGAGGTTGTTTCCTTGTTTTAATTAGCTCTTTAATTGGCTGGATATTTCGAATTCTGTGTTCGGTACTTGAGTTTTCTTCGTGGTTTAGATATTCGCACAGTTGTATGTATCGTGAGGTGCTACCAGAGATTAAAAGGGTGAGTTATTTGCTTTCGAATCAAATAGGTAGTTTAAGTTTGCATGGGATGCACAAATTCTTGTATGAATATACCATTTTTTTTCTTCAAAAAGTGCTCATAAGTCGTATCCTATGAAGGTGATCGTTTTGTTTATATCGTTTTTTAGAATGTAACATTTCAGTTTGGAAGTATGCTTATGCGTTAAAAAAAATACTGAATTGGATGTAGAACTATCACATGGAGACTTTAAACTAATGGCTAAGTTCTTGCATAGTTGCAAACAATTCATGGAGTCATCAGATACTATCGATTGTTGTTCGCTTTGAAAAATTTCTTTCGTGTTTGACATATGGTAGCTAGAAGATTATATGAAAAGGGACTATAGATGCAAGAGAAGTTTGTGTTTGATATGACTAAAGCATGCAATCTAACTGGTTTATGTTCTATATTTCAGAAATCAAACCTCTATAATTTAGTTCGAGATATCGAGCCCTTGGATGTGAGCCTCATTCAAAAAGATGTTCCACAAACAACTATAGATGCCATGAAGCGGACAATTTCAGGAATGTTGGGTTTGCTGCCATCGGACCAATTTCAAGTGATGGTTGAAGCTTTATGGGAACCGCTCTTCAAGCTGTTGATATCTTCCATGATGACTGGGTATCCAGATTATATTTTCATCATTTATTGTGTACAAATCTGTTTATTTGTATTGTATGGTGTTGTAAAACACATCACAAGTTTATCTTCAATTTCATGTCAACATCATACCGTCATTTATCATTTACCACTTCAGTTGTAATTTGTATCAATTGTTGGCATGAGCATTTCCACCCTTAGGTTTTTTTAGCTTCCTAGATACTTTTGTATGAAAGATAATACGAACACGAGTTGATTACTATGACTCTGTCTTGATTGCGTCTTGTATTGTTCAGATACACATTGAGAAATGCAGAATACAGGCTCAGTCTTGAGAGGAATCTTGAGATATATGTAGGAGACAGTGATAAGTCAAAAGCCGAAGATTGTAAATGTAATACCGAGGAACACCAGGGAAGAGGGAGTTTTAGACAAGATAACTTGCCGACGTCCAATGAAACTGGTGAAATGACATATGACATTCCAGATTTTGGTGAAATGACCTTTGAGGCCCGACAGTATATTTTGAAACTGCATTCCCGTTTATCTTCGGTTAAAAAGGCATGTCCCCGTAACTTAGCTGAATATTAGAGACAGTTTAGTCCATTTTATTTCTACTGATACACTGTTCAGTATATCTGTCTCCACTTGTTTATGCATAATTATAAAAGCGCGAAGAGAATAAGTTTGATACTATGGTTGAACTCAGTTTCAATTCTATAAGGCATAAAAGGATGCTTTTGGATTCTTTTGAAAGCATTTAAATTGATATGTTTTTTTTTTTCATTTTTCATTTTTTCAGGAGCTTCATGAAGTCAAAAGGAAGAATGCAGCTCTTCAGATGCAACAATTTGTCGGGGAGGAAAAGAATGAATTGTTGGATTATTTAAGGTCCTTGCAACCAGAAAAGGTGAGAAATGCATCCAACCACCACCAACACTGAATGCTGTTTGTTTGCTTTTAAATTTGTGCAAGAAGGGCTGTAAAAATCAAGTTGACCATTTTAGCAAATAAACTCTAGTAGAACTTCTCCAGCTGAATGCTTCTGATCTATCTTTAGCTTCCAACACAAAAATCACTTTGGGAGCTTATGGAGCTTCTCACAGTGTACAAATATTTCACCACGTGGTTTTCTGAAATCTTCTTTTTTTAGTACTGTTTGGAGGAATTATAATTTAAAGTTAGACCAATGATTTTTATACTTCTAAATGTACGTATTTTCCTTTTTACAGTGACAAATGTTCTTTTGTGTACAGGTAGCTGAGCTATCAGAGCCAACCTCGCCGGAGCTTAGAGCCACGGTTCATTCAGTCGTGCATGGTCTATTGGCAACTCTCTCTCCAAAGATGCACTCCAAAGGCCTCGATCTTGGAGACAACAGCACTGCAGGAACTGTAGATGTTGGAACTGAAGGGGACTGCGTCGATCTTGTCGAGAACACTTCTCTTCAGTTCCAACCTCTTATTTCATTGCCACGCGATTACCTGGCTCGCTTGCTCTTCTGGTCAGTAAATTATTGCTCCCTTTTTCTATGTTTTTGTCATTAAACAAGGTACTGCCTAATTACAACCCGGATGTTGATTTCCAATTACAGTATTTGGGATTTATAAATTGTGTAATCTCTCTCTCTCTCTCTCTCTCTCTCTCTCTCTCTCTCTCTCTCTCATTTTCGATTTTTGTCTGGTTTAAGGTGTATGCTGTTAGGACACTACCTTAGAGGGCAAGAATATCGGTTGGAGCTTATGGAGCTTCTCACATTGCCATTTGTTGCAGATAGTGATTCTTCCACCGGTCGACATGTCATCTGAGGAGCGCTTTTGTGTCGTTTTTTACTTGGTTTCATCATATGAATAAGTTGTTGAAGGGCCTAGCATTTTCACTCTTGTACTTGGTTTCATGTAAATATACTAAATAGAAACTATTTATATTCTGAATAACCAAAAACAATAATTGTAATTTAAAAATCTTTAGTGAAACCAAACTTGATGGGTTGTGGGATTGGATAAAGGAATGTTCTAAATAATTATTATTTGGGTTGGATGGATTCCATGTTTTATTATTTGGATTGAATAGATTTTAATTTAAATTCAATTCAAAAATAACTAGGTTCGTATTACCATAAATAGGTTGATTTATTTATGATCATTTTAGATGTATTAATTGTATTTTAATAGTATTTTCTATTATAACTATTGAATTGTAAATGTATTTTAAAAGTTAATAATTTTTTTATTTATTATCGGTTTCACATATATAATATATCAAATTAATCATCTTTTGATGAGTTTCGATTTGACATCTATATTATATATAAAAAATAAATAAATTATATTTCTATTCATAATAATAAAAAAATTATTAACATTAATTAAAAAATAAAATTATTTCTCAATTAATATATTTATGTTTAATGTATATATTATAAGTTAAAAATTTTTTTATAATACAACACAAGTAAGTCGCACAAGTAACAAGTGTCATACTAAAATATATATAATATATGCTTTTTATAAAAGATACTTAAATTTTAACTATTTTTCTCATTAATTTTAAATTTTAAGAAAAAAATAGCAAGTTCCCGTGTAATACACGGGCGGTGTACTAGTTCTCATTCAAACTAAATAATTCTTACCTCAAAATATGATCATGAAAATTATGAACTATTTTGTTTAATTTTTTTTTTATTTTTTTTTTTTAACTCCCCAACAAAAAGTATAAAAAGGAAAGAACTATTTTGTCATTTTCATTTGTCTTTCCTTCGTTTATATATTCTGGATTGCTATTTACCGCC